ATCATGGTAACTAGCTGTCTTAATAAGCATTCCTTACATTACAACAATGACTCTAGCAATTAAAACTGACCATAAAGCTACATGTACATTATATTTCAATGTATAGCTAAATTAACATAATAAAAGTACAAAAAGCATAATTATGCCAGAAATGGCCTTATACTCTGGAATATTAATCTTCATACCAGCAAGAAAATCCTACTAACAGTAAACAAACAACAGAGCATATCATTATAATATACATGTATTTGGGCTTTTGTACTATGGTAACATACCATAGTAATAATCCATGTAAGTAATAAAGAGACTCTCCCTTTTCCAAATAATAAAAAAACACAATAGACGAGAATGACATCCAACAAGAAATGTAAAGAAGCAGACAAGCCTGAGAAAAGAATTACAAACACTAATCAACACATCGTGTAACATTTCTCACCGAAAACATACTGCAGCAAAGCAAACCCACCAGCAGCACAAATAATACTCTACAAATAAAAGAATTAATAGTATTATAAGAGGCAAGCAAGCTCACCTGAGTGTTCTTTGAGGCATAGGGTATTATGAGTGGACGATAAATAAATGCCAGCGGGTAAGCTAAAATAGGAAGAGGTCAGTAACTTGCTGATATTATAACTATCTTGTACTTAATAAGAGTCCAAAGAGAAAGCGTGCTGCTGGCTCTGGAATGCTTAAAACTTCAGCAATGATCTCTACCACCATGTTGAGATGAGCTGCCAAACACGTGTCGTGGGTGGTAGGTGTGGTGACTGGTGAGTAATTTTACTCCCACGTATAAACTGCTAGATGTATCAAAATTTAATGATGAACATGATAATGATATTGTATTAGTCTGACCATAGGCGCCGGAACAGGGGGGGCAGAGGGGGCTAAAGCCCCCCCCAGTCTTGAAACAGGAGGGGCTGAGCCCCCCCCAGAAATTCTCTGCAACTGACTAACAAAGAAAATAAAACTGACTTTTATCAGTAAAATTAGACCTGCAGTCATCATCTCTTCATTTTATTTAAAGAAAAAGACAAGAAAACTACTCTAAATCCAACAATAGAAGATTAGCACCATTTTTTGTAAAATTAGCAGCCATTTTGTATAAAACCACACCCATTTTAATAACTTAATTGATGTTCAGCCCCCCCCAAAATAAATTTTGTTCCGCCGCCTATGAGTCTGACCCATCATGTAGTCTTGGTCTGACTAGTCAGACCATACAGTACTGAGCCTATGATCATTAGAATACTAGACTACAATAAATTAGGACTAAGGTGACATCATAGACATTAATGGTGACATATGTACACAAAGGGGAACATTCGTTTTTGTTTCCATTGTCCCACAAGGATATATTTATAATGTAAAGGGCCTAAATTGTTCAATGGCTGACTAATAATTCTAAGGAATACACATGTAAATGTGAACAAAATTCATTAGTTTTTTGTAAAATGTTTTACCCCTTAGTAAGGAACTCAATGGGTCATCAATTCTCAGTGGGCAATGGGTAGCTTGGTGCATGCTGGTGAAATGAATTGATTGAATTATTATGACTGTAGTTTCCAAATGTTCTCACAACATAATGTAAAATTTTTCAGTGATTTGTAATTACATTACATACATCCTATATCACTCTGTTTCAGTTTATGATAATAGTGCCTTAATGATCACTTGCCCTTCTTAGGTGGTATCGCCGTGAATCAGATCAAAGTCAGAATTAAATTGACGACTAGAAGGTCAGGATACAAAACCTATAATGAAATTAATGAAATAAAAAATTATGTGCATGCAATATGCATATTTCATAATTATTACTATAATATAAGTTGTACGTACTAGAGTACAAAAGGTACTGAATACCTTTTTTTTGAAACTATACTTAGCAAAATCTGCTAAATTTTAAAACACACAATGTATTAGCTACATATGAACAATGACATATAGTTATGACATGTATCCACTGACCTGAAGCAGTCTCATATTGTGATACCATACACTATCTGAAACCAGTCACCCCTGGAGGGATGTCACTGTCACCAAAAGTGATGCAGGAACCGATATCATTATGGTGCATTTGGTAATTGAATGATGCACCTACTAGCTGAGTCAATCTGCTCCTTAATAATAGCAAATGCACTCATTACATTATAGAGTAGCCTGCACAATATGAACTAACCAAATTTATCAAAAATTAAATTAAAAGTTACAAAAATAAACTGTTCAGGTATATATAAATTATATTATTTTATCAGTTAATGCTGCTGGACCAAGTACTGTTTGGTTCTTTTAGATGATGATTCCAGATCAGTTTCTGAAGATACTTTATATTCTACATATCTTTGCTTCAGTTTTTCAGCAAACTCTATAGCAGCTACAGTATCTTTTTCATTAAGAATATCTGTAAACAGTGAAAAGGCAGATTCCTTAACTTTAACTGCAATTTTAACATGCTTCATTAATTCTTCCATTCGTTGATCCTCATTTTGACCAGTCATTCTGTCAGTTAAAGCCCTTTTTTCCTTCTCAGTGATCACCTTCTTCTGCTGCAGCTTGTTTGCAATATATAAAAAATCTTGAGCAAAATATTCTTTAATCTCTTCTGTACTATCCACAAGAACTTTGTATGCAATATCTAAAATAAATTGCAGTGTTAATTTCATAATTATACAAGCATAATGGAAAAGTGCATGGCCTAACGTTGTGAACCAACATGGAAAAAAAATTAAAATAACAGAACTATGATATCAAAATTGTTACGAGAGACTTCTCTGCTTTTTTAATGATACAATGAATCTTTTTATGTCATGCCAATGACGACAGAGAATTTTAACAGTATCTATAGACCTTATAGGGCATTAACTTCTAGAGCAATTATATAGATACCGTATATGAGACACTATTCGTAATCTTCAGGGTCTTATCTGCATTTTTTAATGAAAAAATTTTGAAATTCTCCTGCTGGACGGCAAAGCCAGGAAAAACCAATGGATAGGAGACCAAAAGCAGCCTTTGTGGACAAGTGGCTTCAAGTGCAACGTAGCTTTTTATCAGGAGACATTCTGGGCCTTATTCTTCACTGTTAGTCGCATTTATTGCCACTCAGACAAGCTTTAGAAGCCATGAAGGCCTCTTGTTCCTTGTTTCCCCATGTAGCTACACTGTATGTTGCCGTCCAAATCATGAGTGTGGGTGGATACCATAAAGCAATAATTACTTGCAGAAATTAGTGCCCTATAGGGTCTATAGTAATGACAGTAGCACAGGCTATTTCTAAAAATGGCTAAAATTAGAATTCTTCACTTTTATTACATTTCCTGATATACATGTTCTCACATCATGTAAAATTTTGGGCTAAGTCAAATCAAAATCTGCCGTAATATCTATGATTCAATTATAGGATGACCTGGGACATAGCTTCCAGGTCGTAAATTTTTTTGTTATAGTAAATTGCATATTTTGCATTTAAATCTTCTAAATTAACCTTCAAGGCTTTAACTCAATGAATAATTTTACTGTATGATAATATCACAATTACTTTCATGTTAACAAATTAACCCATGCTGAAGACTACCTTAAGCCTACTATTATTTGCGTCTACTAATTTTAGCAAAATCAGCAAAATTCATGTTTAGTGTTACTAATTTTAGTGTTTTTAACCAAATTAACTATCAATAATAACCATTGTAATCAATAATAATTATTTTGGCGTCTATTTAATTTAGCGATTTAAAGCTCTCTCACTAATATAGCTAAATTTAGTAGACGCTAAAAATAGTAGGCTTAAGGTAGTTAGATGTATATTACCATACAAAATATTTTTGGCCAAAAAATTTCGTGGATCCATCCAAAAATATATAATTTAGCTTTAATTTTTGTAATTATCTACTTTTTGGCTCTGTACAACTGTATTTAATTGTCTTTCACAAATTTATTTTTATGAATTTCAAAAAATTGGGCCATAAACGATCCTTACTATTTGGTACAAAGGGCATGCAAGCTCACAACACTGTCTAAAATTGCATGTGCTGAGCTCACTTGTCTCCAAAATATCAGGTAAATGTTGTAATTCATCATGCTGTCGTTTTCCTATATAAACAATAACTATTACTAAATACAATCAAAATTTAGTCTTACTCTTATGATCTAGCCAACTCGAGCAGTCTGTAGCCATCTTCTTTTGAGACTTATTGTCGATATTGCATCGAAAAACATAGCAACGCTGTGTTTTAAGCCATGATACTACAGCTGCATGCCTTCCTTTACCACATGGACAGTAAAATGCTCTTTCTGGCTTCTCACATTTACTAAGTTTGTGCTTAGTCATTGCTACATCAACTGCTTCTTCTACAGCATCTCTTGATGGAATATAATCTATGGCTGCTTCACAGTACACTGTAATACAGTCAAGTTGTTCCACAAGTATCATGTCACTTTCAAGAAGGTCAGGGCATCGTAAAGTGAAATAGTTTGAATAGTTTGACTCTTCAACGACTTTCCAAGGAGATTCCTTGTGAGAGAGAAGATGAACAATGACTGCACAAAAGAGACCCATTGGAATAGCACTCTCAAAAAACAACAAAAGAGGTGTTGTGTTAGGGTAGGGGTTGATGTTAGATACATCCATTGTAGGTAGAAGAGCTGGCATGAAGAATGTATCTTTCTCAGGTACATCTAACCTAGCAGCAATCAGAAGGTATTCAAAAAGGCCAAGTAACTTTTTGTCAAAATTAGGAAATGCCTCGGATATTTTATTACAACTTTTTGATGCCTTTTTAAGAATCTCAATGGAGAGGTGACCTTTACACACGAGTGCTTTTTGATCAGGAAGTAGATATTTTGCATCAGAATGAGCATCATAGACAAACACCAGTAAGTCTCTAAGAATGTTAATGAGGCTCTCTATGTTCACAAAAACAAGGTCACCAGCAGGTGAATCAGGATAAAAGAGCAATCTATTAAGAAAACTGAGAAACTTGATAGCACTTAACGATTCTTCAGGTGACAAATTAACTTTCAATTGCTGGCCAAGCTCTTGACAGTAAGATAAGCTCAAAACACCACAACCTTCCTTAGCAACATCATGGAGAAGGACACCAAAGCAATACCACTTCAATGGAACTTTAATTTGATATGCATTATCTTCTAATGCTTCAGCTATCTTATATAGGTCTGAACCTGGCTGTAGATTTTCAAAGGCTTTATCACGAGCTTTGCGTCCATCTACCTCATA